CGCGGTGATTCACTCGGTCAGAGACGCTCCCGATCCAGCCACTGTGCCGCTCGCTCGGCCAAGGTCCCCACCGCACCGCGTCCCAGGAGGGGGCAAGTTCCGGAACACCGGAACTAAGCCTCTACTCATCAGTTCCTTCATCGGCATAGAGAAAAAAAACGCACTGAAAACAAAATCTCGGTATATTTACTACGAAAAGGGTAAAATTACCAAGAATTCAGGGTTCTTTTTGATCCCAGTTTTTTCTTGGTAAAATTACCATTTACGGGATTGGTAATTTTACCGAGAAATTTATTGAACTTTCTCGGTAATTTTACTGGACCTTGGTAAAAACGCCAATATTTTTTATCGACTGTGGTAGAATTACCGAGATAAAATGGCAAAGTTACCGGGAATTGATTACCAATAAAAGTGGTATTCTTACCTGGAAAAAACAGTAAAAAGACCGGTTTTTAGGTAAGCTTACCAGTCTGTCTTGGTAAAATTACCAATAATTGGTAAAAAAAAAGTGCGATGGTAAAGGTACCAACGGACCTTGGTAAAAACGCCGAGAATTTTTTTTCAGCGCAGCATAATTCCAAATTCAGAGTATGAAAAAGGGCCGTAGCGTCCTTTAATGGGCTAAGTTCAACCCGGGGACTATAATTTCAAACGTTTTTCATTGAATCACTATTTCCAGAAAATACACAATTTTTAAAAAAAAAAAAAAAAAAAAAAAAAAAAAAAAAAAAACGATAAGAAAAAGCGTCATCGATAAAAGCCAAAATGCCCGACTTGCGACCACCTCATTTTTCTCTCGATACTTAATACCCCAGTGGCAATGATCGCGATAATGGGATTGGAGAATTGATTGCAATATTGTTGAAGTCGATTTATAGAAATTTTATCGAAAAAATTGCGAATGGCGCTTTCATCACATAAATTTGCAATAAAATCGCGATTTTATCGACGGCGATTTATCGCAATATTATCGAACAGAAAATCGTAATTAATTGGGATACAATTTCGAATTTATCGAACGTGATTTTATAGAGCGCGATTTAATAGAGATGAAATTGCGACACGATCGAGAATAATCGCTTGGATGTTGTTAATCCTAGCGATTTTCCTCCAAAAAATCGAAAATCAATTTCAAAATGTCGCGATTTTCCCGTTGAAAAATGCTCCTAGGGTAGGGATTCAAGGGACCCATTCAATCTCGCTACTAGTTGGCGAGACCACGTGATTGGCTGTCATGTACAAATAAAAAGATAAATTTAAGCCTGAAAAAACTATCAACATGGTAGAAACAGAAGAAATAAAGCCCTAAAAAAAATGGTGAGTCAGCTAAACTTTTTTTTTTGTTTTTCGAAGAAAGACCCAAGTAGCAAAGATTGTAATCAATTGAACTTACGCCGCACAATCATTGCTACTGTCTCGGAGTGTTATGTTTGTTGTCTATTCACTATAATTAAAGGGGTTACTCTAATTGAAATGTATTCCCTGGTAAAAATTGGCGATAGGAGCTGCGTTTCAAAATACCATAGGAGTTCTTATAGCCGACTGAAGAGGGCGTTAGAAAATCATATATAGCTGGCTGTAGAAAGTGGAAAAAATCATACGGCCGGGCTACACGAAGCGATAAAAAATTATACAGCCGGGCAATAGTTCATATCGCCGGGTTTTACACTTTATCGCCTGGCTGTTGCTTTTTCGCCATCGGCTATAAAAGGCTATAAGAAATTGTGTAGAAATTCTTGTGCTTTGTAAATCTTTAAGTTTGTACGGTATCACCTTAATATTTACAAAACGCACATTATATTTTCCTTTACTACATATTTATTTTCATCAATTAGAATGAGAATAATCCATACAGAGTGTGCAAATATTTCAAAGTCATGAGTTGGAAAACGCTGTCTCCGCGAGATTAAATATTAGAGCTTAACACAAAGCGGAGCGGCGGCTTACTGGCGCCTACAAACCTAACAGGGATACTTTACGCATTGCGCAATGCGTGAAGTTATCCCTGTTAGGTTTGTAGGCGCCAATGCGCGTTCAGCGCTGGCTGCCCGCCCGCGGCGCTTGAAACAACTATTTCACACCAGCGGTATTGCACAGTATCATACGCAATTGAAGGCGCTCCTACATATTAGGAATGGCAGGCATGCTTCAAAAGTACGAAGCTTTCCTCGCAAATTAAATCAAGATACTACGGCCCAAAAAGAGAGCGTTAGTCCAAAAACTCACTAAGTCCTAGCATCCGTAATTAGTAACGTTTAGCATACACTTTATCGTCTGGCTGTTGTTTAATCGCCATCGGCTATAAAAGGCTATACGAAACTGTGTTGCCGGCTATAGAAGCTATTGGAAATCTTACAGCCGGCTGTAGGTCTATGGTATTTTGGAACACAGATTCTACGGCCAATTTTTACCAGGGTTGCAATAAAGCTGAAATACGCCGCAACTTTTTTTGATTGACAAATCGCTAATTTTCATGGTTGCATCAGTAAATATTCCAGTTAGGAGCTTTCTAAAGTCTCCAAAGTCCATTATTCAAAAACTCGTTTTCCAATATAACAAAAAACTCTAAAATTCAGTAGTATTTTTGCCGGGAAGAGAAAAAAAGCCTTTACGCAGCTAATTGATAAAATAAATGGTTTAAATTTTGATTTAAAAACCACGCACGCGGTTGTGTGGCTCAAGGAGGGCACCACACAGAACTCTTGCACTAAATTCTCTTTTGAAACCTGCTCAAACTGACAATGAGACCTTCGATGAGAATACGGTTTATATATGTATACACTATTTTACTATGTACCTACCATAGAGATGTATATTTCAAGTTGACGATATAATCTTAATTGTCAAAAATAGATACTTCTCTGTAGGTAGGTCCTAATGAAAAAAATATTGAGAGGCGACTTGATCTGAAGTTTTAATACAGGTTACGACACTCATATACTCCAATTTATCAACATCAGCAGGTAAATCGCATACTTATTGTAAAAATCGCAAACTACGTATATACCCTAACGTAATTGCGGTGTTTAAAAGCTTTTTTGCTTACTTGTTTTATTTTAAATATTTATTATGATTTTCTGAAACCGATAAACAAATTAACTTCGTTGCTTGAAATTTTCACAGAGCTTTCTTCGCACAGAGTCGGAAAATTACGATGATTTTCAAAAAATAGCGTCGGATAGTATTTTACTTAAAAAAATAAAGAAAGAACAAAACGAAAAAAAAAACAAAAAACAAGCAAAAAAAAGCGCGTCGCCTCAGACCGAGATACGTGATTTGAAAATTCCACCCTCGAATTATGTCATATCCAGTTTCCTTAACTGCCGTACCTATTCCTATATCTATCGCTTTGTAAGCCGCTGTCTCATGGCGCGGCAAAACGTCAACTGACTCATCAGTTAATATTTGTATCAAGTATTGACCAAATCAGTAGTGGACGGCTTCCATATTGGAAGAGTTGCCGGTGCGCAGAGGCTCCCCGAAATTTGTCGCAATGACTCGTGTAAAAGCATAGAGTTTTCGCGCGGAATTTGACAACCCAGCAACCAGTATTCGCGACCTGCTCTCACTCGGCCAATTAGGCAATGGAAAAAGGGCCCTCGAAATGTCATGAGTCCATATCGATGCCTGCATTCAGAAAAATCCAATGAGGATGTACTCATCTCACAGTTTCTGTTATTCATGTGTGCAGATGAAAATGTGAGCTTATATTCGTGGTGGGCATGCAATCTTGTACACTAAGCTATATTTCAACGCAACCGAAAGGTTTTCAGTCAGAATGGAGGCGGAGACAAGGGTTGCTGTATGTTGGTCTCAAGTGAAAAATTAGCCAAGAAAATCCAAAATCAGGTGACTTTACCTCTACCGAATGACGATCAATAAACTTGCATTGTTGCCAATGGCGCCTGCCAGGGTAAGAAATGTTGAAATAAAATTGATAATTTGATCCATGAATGCAGATTTTAAGCGTTCAATGAGATGAGTAGATGAATGATAGGCAAGTTGGAATGCCAAAAAAATGCAACTTATTTAAATGTCATCACAATAAATACGATAAAGAGGTGCCCCTTCAATCATTAGATAGGCAACATTCACAACACTTCAATGCAGTAGCAGTAATCTGTCGTTGAAAATAGTTGGAAATATCATTTTGATATAATTACAAATAGTTACTTACAAAGTATCACAATTATTTATAAAGATTTCGTTTAGAATTAGAGTTTCTCCTCGTCCATGAATAATTATCGCTGAAAGCATAACGGTTTTTTGCAATTAAAAATTCGAGTTATTTAGAATCCAGTTTGAGGGCTCACTAAAAAATTTAGTTTTACGCGAACAAATACTGTGCACTGACGGAACGTCATAAAATTCCAAATTCCACAACTTTTCCATTAGAGGATAGGGAGCTGTAAAGTAAACGGGTGCAGCAGATCATCATCACAAAACATGAGATTTCCTCTTTCACCGATTGAGCAAAGATGTTAAATCAATAAATAAAATAAGTTACAGAGGTGAAAATCAAGACAAGTAAATGTATTTTTACCCAGCATCCTTTGATAATGCGAAAAACATTTGAGAATACATCGACGGTGAAACTACCAAACCACGTATCTCGGTTTGCGACGTCGCAGACTTCCTGTCATACTTTATTTTTTAAATGAAAATCTACTTAACGTCCAGCCTCGAACATTTCTGTGATTTTTCCTCTTCGTGCGAAGAAAATTCTGTGAAAATTTCAAGGAATGATATTGATTTGGTCTACTTCAAAAAAATAAAATGTGGGCGTAGATTTTTAAACACCGCAAACGAGATACGTGGTTTGGTAGTTTCACCGTCGACATGCGTAATCCGTCATTTCGGTGGAAACCAGGTGCGACGGGCGGAGGGAAAAAGAGCGCTAATTTAAACATTTGGCGGGAGATTCATATTTCCTCCTGTTCCCGCCACTTATTTTTTACACCAATCATCGGACTCCCATGCTTTTTCTCCAAAAAGTGAGGTTAGACAGACATGAACACCTTGTCTCCAAAGTTTGCTGGCTGGTGCTAAAGTTTTCAACCAATTCTTCCTCCTTTTATTCTATTTGACTTTTTTTTTTATGTAATTTTAATCTAGTGGCAAATTATCATTGTAGTATCTAGTTCCACCTTAGGAATTTCCTATCCACGATGACAGATGATGCTGAAGATAAACTGCCAAGTCTCCCGGGGTTTGATACTCTTCAAGACTTTTTCAAGGTATCACTCATTCTTTCAATTTTCTTCACAATTGGAATTTGTCTCCTCTGAAGCATCCTCATATATTAATGCCTAGAATGTCCATTTCAGTCACAGGAATGTTCTTATCCCTCTCCACAAGATCAATGTATGGACAGTTCTTAACCCCTTCAGTTGATCGGATACATCCCAAGGGCTTTTTTTATCTGATCTGTAGTGATTTGCAATGAACTGCGTTACTTTCCTATCCCGGTCCACTGCTATAGTCCAGCTAGATTCATGCATTCCAGGCATAGAGCACACAGAGTTGTAATGTGAATGGGAGAGCTGGGACCATGTCCTGGACGAAGAGTTCCGAGCCCGGTGTGCGGGTCACTTTTTCGATACATGTTCGATTCATAATGGTGGTGTGGAATACGTAGTAATACCTATCTTCCTTATTACCATTGGATGGTCGGATCCCCGCGTATTGCAAACAATCGACTATGTGTAGAACAAGTTGCCCAGTGTTGCTCCGGAGTCATCGAATTCGGGACCTGGAAAATGCTTAAAAGTGGTCCCAGCTCTCCCATTCACATTTTGACACTATGTACTCTATGACTCCAGGGAACCGCTTGCATTGCTCTCCCAAGGTGGGTCATAAGCAATCCTGACTGACCTGAAGGTAAACAGCTTGGATAATCCTATCTATCATGCCCATTGATTTGGTTTCTATGACTGATTCATCGCAAATTTTTTAACGTACCAAAGTGAGGCCTATTTGAATTTGATTTGGGCATATTTATGCCTCAAGGAACTATTTGCAAATTAAGTGAATCTGTAGGAACAGTGAAGCCCAAAATCTCTGTGCAGAAAGTGCCTACCAACTTAATTCTTAAGGCATGGTTCCGTTCAGCTTAAAAGTGTCCGATCAATGATCCAAGCAGTGAGCAATCCTCCTCTAACTAAAAAGCATCCTAACGATAGTGTTTCACCACAAATTTCTCTGTCACATGATTGTCATTTTTTGAATCATCATCTCTTTGTGAGTAAAATGTCCTGCCATGGAACTTTAAGCTATCGTGTAATGAACTTTTTTTTCACATACCAAATCCCCATTTTTCAGCATGGCTATAAAACTGTCATGGAAGGAATCAGAGCCTCAAACAATTTGCCGACTGGTAGCAAGTTTGATATGTACACAAGTTATCCTGACTTTCATCATCTCATGAAGTGCCAAGGCGGTAAAGTTCTTGATCTGTGAGTCTTTTACAAGCAACTTATCTCTCATTTGTAAATTAAATAGCCTATCCTGACTAATACTTCTCCAAAAGATTTTCAATCATCATAACACAAGTCTACGACACTTGCAGCAGATTTACTCTGAAGTAATTTTTTTATTAGATTTTTTATTTTGGTTCGTTGTTTAAAGTCAAACCATTTGTAAAAAAAAGACATTTCTTGCAAACAAGGGAGAAGCAAATCTGCAAGATTTTGTATTATTAAAAAATGCAAATCAGACAGCACATACATATGAACTCTTCAATGAAACTGAAAGCCACTTCAACAATTTTATTTTAATTATTTTCTAAATTTAGGCGTACTTTTACAAGGACAAAATGTAAGCGTAAGAGGTCAATCAAAGTTGCAGGAACTTTCCAACCAAGCGACTGGCCCGGTCGTCTGCTGGTCACATGTGCTGGGAGAGCATTAATTCATTAGGTTTTTTTTTTTTTTTTTTTTTTTTTTTTTTTTTTTTTTTTTTAATAATGAAAACGTCTTTGATCAATTTTGCATGGTTGCATTTGAAAGTGTGAGGCAAGACAAGGCCATACAAGGAAATTGTCAAATACCCGTTAATTGTGTACTTTTTCGTTCCTTAATTTTTCTTTTTGTTTTCTTTCGTTGTTTGTAGAATTTCAAAATTTACAAAAAATTTTAAAAACACGGGGCTATAGTTTATAACGCATTCTGCTCAGTTAATTCGTGAAATTTCAGAAGTATTCAATATTTTGGGATTTATTTTAGGTTGTCTGTACACCTTGTATTTAATTTTTTTTTCCCCTCATCCCAGGATAAATCTCCTGCTGAGACACCAGGGTATTAGTGGAAACATTCACCATCGAGATTTAGAGGACAAATTTGAGCTAGTGGTCGAAGGAAATGATGCTATTCTGGAAAGAGTGGTAAGAAGTGTTCTGATTTTTTATTTTACTAGGATCATCATATGCAAATGGGAACATTATGTTTATTTTATGGTGAAAACGTTCAATACTGTTGTTCAGAATGCTTAGCTTGCTCGCATTTTTTTTATCTTGTAAGAACGAGAGAAGAACTAATGCAAAAATTTCAAATTTAGTAACTAACAAATAATCTGGTGTCATGAAATATAAGTTCTTCTTGTTAGATGGATGAAAATGGTGTAGGACAAAAGGGGTCTAGTTCCTAGGGCCTCTCTTTACTTAATAAAATTCCTATATCCTGCCAAAAATCTTCTCTTTCAGGCTTTAGACGTGAGGTGAACAAGGGAAAGATCAGGGAAAAATTCTATCATATTTTGCCTCTTTCTGGAAGGAAATTGCTAGTACACCACCCCGTTCCCCCCTGTTTTACATTCGCTCTTGATCTCTATACCATGGGTAGCTGGTTTTCTGTTTGTGATGCCTAAGTCCTATGGCAATAGTTAGTCCAACTGGCCTACCCCTCCCCTGAAAAATTCCCATTTCTTTGTTCCAAATTAAAATAAAGGATGAAGTCTTAAAAAAAGTTTGTGGTAACTATTAAGTGTGTGTTGAATTCAGAAAGCAGTTTTATAGAAAAACAAAGTGGTATAATGATGCTCGCGATGCAAATTCTTTTTTTGTTGTACTCGCATAAGTTTCACTATGATTTACGCAAGTATCAAATAAGCTCCAGCATTCACTTTCTTTAAGTGGTTTTCGGTAGTAATCGAAACACTTTGATTTTTTTTTTACAAGTTTGGTACTGCTACCAGGAATAATTTTAGAAGTAGTATTCATAACCAGACACAACCTATTAAGTTATGGTAATTTTTTCTTTGCTACGTTTACAGAATAGCATACTACTTAGTTTTTTACCCTGCTTTGGACACAAAACTTCATGTTCTCTCCTCATCTTTAATCTAGATTAAAGTACTAAGTAACATGATCATCCTTTTTAATCTATTAATGAGTTTATTCAATTCATAAATCTCATCAACTAAATTACGAGAATAATTTCAATTTACTTTAAAATTAGTAAAATTCTCTTTCACTAATAGTTGAATGGCCACTGGCTGTATCTGAAATTTCTAGGGTGAAAATTTGGATGAATGGAATGGAGTCCGGAGAAATAATGAACCGGCCATCGAAGGAACCCAGGCTGGCCCAGTTCGCGTCAGTGGGAGTTGGAACAAAAACTTGAAAACCTCAGCTGTCTGGAAAGAGCGCCAATCAAATGATGCTACTCAAACTGTGCGACTCTTGACGTCTAAAGTAACTGAGAGACCACAGCTTAAGTTCAAGGACAAAATAGACAACAGCTCTAGTCCATGGGAGCCTAAAATCAAGGAGAAACCTAACGCCATCAAACCACTTGCTATTCTTTATGAAGAAACAGAGTTTGGAGGATGGTAAGGGTTGTTTTTTCATGCAGATTTTGTTCCTAAGTAGGTTTTTTGCTGCCCTAATGAGTATTTCTGCGAGAATCCAACACATCTTGTTTCACTTTTTAATTCTGAGCCTGTGCTATCTCTCCCAACAACCTGACAAATTCATACAAAATAAGAGTATTTGGAATGAAAACCCCCAAGTAAATACTCAGACTGTCATGTACAAATATGTAAATTTAATTTACTGTATGTGTAATTTAACTGACATATGTACTTGTATTTTTCTTTCTGTTTTTAGTTATTCACATCCATATGAATTCGAATTAGAAGCATTCAATCCTGATGATTCTCTTATCAGCCGTGTCACGCCCAAAAAACCACCTCCTTTGGAGAAAACTCCCTTTGTTTTTGTTGACAATGAAGATAAACTGAATATAATGGCAAAGTATCTAAATAGTCAGAAAGAAATTGCCATCGATTTAGAAGTAAGTCCTTTGAGTCCACGTTTCTTTACTTAACTATGTAGGCTTAACTATTACTTCCGTCATCATATTCCTCATTGATTTCTCTCTCTACTGGTCATAATTTTACCTCAAAAGAAAAAGGGAGAAAAGAGGATAGAAAAAAAAGTTAAAAAAGTAATTCCATCAACTTTTCATTTTTTTGTGTATCCTCTCCTTTTTCTTTAGTCTTTTTTTTTCTTGACCAGAGGAGAAATACCGAAGACCAAGAAAAGGCTTGTCTTAGTACATTATCATTGCTCATAACAATAAATTTACTCAAAAATTAGAATTAATTAGCAATTCATCTCTTTTGATTCTGTCCCCTTCAGCGTATTTCTGTGTTCATTTTACTCAAAATAAATTGATGCTAATCATTCTTTGCCTGTTAAGACCAAAGCATGATTTTCCTTGTACGTTGTTATAATTCAAACTTATGTGTTGTTCTTTGATTTAATAGCACCACAACTACCGATCATTCCAAGGATTCACCTGTTTAATGCAAATATCAACACGGACGCAAGACTATGTAATAGATGCCATAGAACTAAGAGACAAATTGCACATTTTGAATGAAAGCTTTACCAACCCAAAAATTGTCAAGGTAAGAAAAAATCAAAATTTGAAAACTGCAAACTGATTTATAATATGATCCAAAAAGAACAAGCCAAATGTGAAGATTTGCCTCACGCTTGTTTCTTATTGCAAGTTAAATCATGAGGAATCAAATGCTATCAGCATTGTCAGAGATATAAAAGCATTTAACACTGAGCAAAGAATCATCTGTCACCTAATTTTATCCATTCAGAATTACAACTGGTTATTAGACAAGGTGTGGAGCAGAGAAAGCGTTGTATATTTTCTCTTTAAAATTTTCAATAGAAAACAATTCACTCAACAGGAAGCTCAAAATTAATTCCTGAACGAGTTATTAACATGCATTTATGCATATTCTTAATTTGCAATGAAGGTACGTATATCATTCAACACCATTTACCTTGATTTTAACTGTGCTAAGTTGCCAATAGACAGCAAATCTGACCCTATTTTTTTTTATTTCTGTATGTGTTTCTGTGCAGGTTCTTCATGGTGCAAGTAGTGACATTATCTGGCTTCAGAGAGATTTAGGATTGTACATTGTTAACATGTTTGATACTCACCAAGCAGCAATGCTCTTAAATTTTAGTCAACTCAATCTGGCGTTCCTCCTCAAACATTACTGTCAAGTAGATGCCAACAAACATTTTCAGATGTATGATTGGCGGATCAGGTAAGCCTATTATTTTGACTTATCAGCTAAATCCAGAATACACTCTGATTTCCAAAATATTATTTCTGATAGAATAATGAGTCTTGCTAAAAATAATAAAATCAAGGACAGAATATGTACCAAGTGTGGTATGAGGTAAGGAGAGGACATAGCAATCTACATTTGAAAGCATGAAAAGTATGCAGTAGGTCTGCTACAAACAGGAGATACAGTCCAGTAAATAGATTTTTTAAGGTAAAATCGTTTGAAAAGCATGATTAGTATTTTCAAAAAGTGCAAAATCCGCTTTCTATTGCACAATATGTGTAGCCCATGTCATGCATTTTCAAATTTTCCATACTCTTTTTTTATTTTTGACAGCCAGTTTTACCACAGAAGAGATGAAAGAAAACCTTCACTAACTATGAAAACAAACTCCTGAACTGTTACTGATCTTAATTTATTATTTCAGCTGTTTCACAGCTTAGATAGTTGTCTTTCTCAAGGATCAGAGAGAAACGAGATGCTAAAACTGAAATCTAACTAAAATCACCAAGTATATTTCGAATCACAACTAAAATTAAATTTAAAAAAAATACTGATGACAGGCTTTGAGATTGTGTGTGTGTATTCATATTAGGTTGTCTCATCTTTCTAGCGGCAAACCTGGTTGTTGCAGACGAAGAGGGAAGTGCCTGCAGAGGCGAGGAATTTGAAAATGCATGAAATGGACCACTCAAATTGTGTGTTAAGGAGTGGTTCATCGACTTTGTCTAAATGTGCTTTTGTGGTTTTCGTGCAACTTCATCCAAACTACTATTATTTAAGCTGAAGTATCTCTCGTTTAGAACAGACTATTCAAACTATGCCATATATTTCTAATGACTAAATTTAAAGTAATTTTCCGATTTTACCCTGGCATTTATTGTAGCAGTTTTCACTTGTTATTCTCAAGCTGCTTCCTCCGCAGTTGTAAGGGTGCATATATTGTACACTTATTTTTTTCTTGTTGTTGCAATTAAAAAATCAACTGGTGTATTGCACAAGGGAGGCACCATGTACAAGTTCATAAATTATTTAATTAATTATTAATGGTCATGCATGTCAGAAACATCCAACTTTTATCTCCTATTGTATCAATTTTTTTCAGGCCTTTGTCAGAGGAAGCTGTAAAATATGCTCGTGAAGACACACATTTCCTCCTATATATTTACGACATGATGCGAAATGCATTGATAGAAGCAGCCAACGGCCAAACTAATCTTTTAAAGTCAGTATACAGCCGTAGCACCGAACTTTGCAAAAGACGTTACGTCAAGAGTGTTCTAACTGAGGACGGGCACATGGATATGTATCGAAGAAGTAAAAAATTGTTCAATAACAAACAGATGTATGCGCTTGAGCAGATTTACAGATGGCGGGACAAAACAGCCAGGGAACTAGATGAAAGTATAGGGTAAGTTAAATGCGTTGCTTGTATTTTCGTCACATTATCAAAAAACTTGATTAACTTCAAATTTAATTGTTTTAGTTTTTACGGTATATGATTCCTGAAATTTTAATAGTTCTCTATAATCACTTTGAGCCAATTTTCCCCATCAGATATTTTGATGGCAAAAAGATTTTTCATGAGAGCAAAAAGTGTCCAATCTTGGGGCTGATCAAACATGAGAAATTTTCGATTGTCTAGGTAAAATGAAGCTTGAAGGAAAAATAGAAGCCTCAAAAAAGAGGAACTGAGAAAGGGGGATATTTTTTTTCAGTCATTTCAAATACTCCTCAGAGGGTAATCCTACACTTAGAATTAAAGCCGCATCCTCCCTCTGTCCCTCCGTAACCATCAAACTCAGGCAACCCTGGTCCAAGATGATCAAACTTGGGTTGCATAACCAGGAATAGAACTCGAGACCTCCTAATCATAGAGGCCAGCGCCACAACAACCTCCTGTGAAGGATTGGAAGTAGCATGATTTTATTCTGTAATCTAAAAGATTCGCAGACATTTTGACACGAGGAAGAAACTTCAGTTAGCAAGATGTCATATCAATAAAACAAAATAATGATTATTGATCATATCAATAATGATTATTTACCAAAAGAGTTTTGTAAGATAGCCCCTTTATGCTCCTTGGGGAAAAAGCGGAACTAAATCACAGAAGGGATTCGAGTGATCAGTTGCTTGCTCTGTCATTGAGTGAGAGTGAAAGTAATCTATGAAAAGGAGCTTGGGGCTAAGTGACTTACGCTGTCTTATATGAAAACTCCTACAACGAATTTACTAGCAGACTCCCTAACTTCTCAAAGTACTTGGCACCTTTTAGTTAAATACTGCGGAGATGCTTATACAGTGATTTCTTTTTTCTTTTTCTCCTTTAGTCTATGAAATAAGTGTTTTTTATCATTTCAAACTCAAATCTTCAATTAATAAAGAGTAGGAATAAATAAAAAAAACTTTGTCCTCTACGTTTCTCAAGCTGTCTTTGAGTGTAAGCACTTCTTTTTCCTTTTTTTTTAGATATGTTCTTCCAAATCACATGCTTCTCCATATTTGTGAGTCTCTACCTCGAGAAATGCAGGGAATTTTAGCTTGTTGTAACCCAGTTCCACCACTAGTCCGACAAAATCTACTTGAACTCCACCAGATTGTTTTAAAAGCAAGGGAACAGCCCCTGATTAAGGTAACAATCAGTATTATCTTTTTCTTTTATTTCTGTTTCTGTTTTAAAACCCTAGCAGTTACGAATACTTTCCAACAAATAATAAAATCATTCGGATGATCCCAATAACTTGTTTAAGAGGTGTAATTTCTTGAGAGTTTACTGATATCATTCTGAGACATTATTCTACTTAATAAACATATTTCCAAACTTCATTTGCAGTATATATTCGAGGAGCGCTAAAACTCCCTTCCACCAGGCAATGCCCTTGGCTAGCCATGGAGATTGCACAAAGTATATCTAGAACATAAAGTTTCACATTTATTTTACAATGATAATGATAATCGCATTAATATAATTATTTTTAAATACAACAATGATATCAAAATATTAATTTCGTGTAATAATAAATAGTACTAATCTAATTATTTTCATATGATTCATTTTCAATAAATTCACCTTCAACTAAATTAATGAATCGGGTAACTTTCAAATTTCTGCCCCTTCTGTCTGATGTCATTTTTATTTTTTATATCAGCGTATGTATGTTCTATTCGGCTCTGGACAAAAGAATTATCAGTCAAAATGTATGCATCTCTGCACCTGAAAAACACAAGGTTCCTGGCCCAATCGAAGACTTTTATCGTTACATACAGTAACATCTTAATTTATTGGATCATGATTTAACAGATTCTGAGATTTTACACATATTTCTGCGATTTAATGGATCGATTTGTCAGTTCCATAAAATCTGATAATTTGAGGTCTTACTGTAATTGGCTAATGAAGACACACCATGTGTTTTATGTGCATGCATGAAAAGATAAATATCAAATGCAGGAGATAATCCTACTTAAAAATTTCAGAATCCTCACAAATTTTGAAATTCTAGGATTGAAACTACTAAATCAAAATTTGAGTTGGATTTTCTGAGCGAAGATCTTGGATTTGAGTTTGTTTACCTGCTAACAATAATCTGCGAAGTGTCTATCGAAGCTAAGTGAAGCTACCCCCATCCTATGCTTCATAGTTGCTTTCTTTTTTACAGCCAATAATATCAGAAGAAACAGCTGAAACACATCAAAATCGTCAGGAATTAGCATTAAAGATGGAATCTAAGGTGAATTGTGTCCATGACCTAGTATGTATGAAAGATTTCCGACCTGATCTGCCAACACTCATCGGGAAGCACACTGAGCCTACTTCAATTCAAGATTCACATCAGGAAGCTGTATCATGTGTAAAAACACCTCAACTGTCAGTCTTCTGTGGAAGCGACATGGACACTTCTGAGGACGGCGAAGAGGTAAGAATGATCTTTGGAGCACAGATGATTCAGCAATAGCTCTATGTTCAGGGTGTCTACCGGTCCCCAAAAGTTCCCATGTCCTGGTTACCCCTGACTTTGAAAGGGTACCCCGATATCCCTGAAAGTCTCCAATTTTCTTGTGCAGGTCCCCAAAAAATGACAAAAATCGTCCTAAACACCGGCATTTTCAAATTTTCCTGCCAGCTGTGACGGCGCGGTATAACCAGGAATAAAAAAACTGAAGTGTTGCTTGGTTTTTCATATGTTTTTATTGGTTCAGCATGACTTGTAAAGTTAGTGGCACAAAATATGCTTTTAACGCTCCAACTAAACCCTCCCTTTCTCTTATTTATCGGGGAAAAAAGGTCCCAGATTTTCTTGAAAAAACACCCCTAAAAGACCCCAAAAGTCCCCAATCATGGTTTTTGATAACTGGTAGACATCCTGATGTTTCATTCAAAATATTTGGGTCTAAGTTACCACAAAACCTTCGCAATTTTCACACTCTGAGTTGCCACACTTTTAGCTTATAGACACTTTTAATCATGATGTCACCATAGATTTTCTCTGTTTCATCAAATTTGATCCAAACATTAATATTGGCATAACCTCTCCTACCAATGAAAGAGTCAATGTATTTTCTAAATAACCAACACTGATAGTGCTTGTTAGAAACTAAACGTTCACAATTTTTTATCTATATTTATTATTTTATCTTGATATTTATTTGAACCTTTCTTACCCCAAATTTTCAGGCTGCCCAATAATTTATTTTTTGGAGGGGGGTGGAGGATAAAAAAAATCTGTCTGTTACGATCCATTAATGAGGAATACTTTTCTTCAGCTTAAAAAGAAATAGACCACCAGACAGGGTATGAAATTGAGGATTATTTTATCTTCTTTTTCAGAAAATGACTCATCTTTTTTTTTAATCACATATTTTAATATTTCAGTAGAAAGCCGGAAGCATCAGAGGTTTTGAAACCGACAATAATATTTTTTCTCACACTTTGTTTTTCTAGGATGAAGAAGAGAACTTGGCTTCCGTTGCAGCTAAATCTATCAAATTTGCCTCCCCATATCAACGATATAAATCAACGAAACCATATTTGTTTGCCCTGGAAGAAGAAAGAAAAAAGAAAGAGGAAGAGAAAAAATTGGCAGAATCCAAACGTATCAAAACTGAAGAGGAATCATCAGCTCGAATGGAGTTAGTTGAAGAACAAATCTCTGAGAAATTGAATAGTGTAAGCAATTATCATGTTTATTTCTTCTTTTTATGACAATTTAAAACAAAGATATTTATATGTGAGAGTTGCGTTAAGAATCTAATTTGTTCAACTAGCCTGAACCATGTTTTTCCCTTTCAAATTTTTTTTCACTAACAAAAATTTAGAAAACGTTGACTCTTGTACATTCTTGACTCCTTGACAGGAAGTGTTTGTCTTGTATTCTTCAATTCTTCTTGAAAAATATTGCTAATTTTAATGCAGCCCACTGACTTTTGAATGGAGATAATCTATTCTCAAAAAGATTAATTGTCTTTTCTCCTTGTTATTTGTTGATCCTGTAAATTCAGGAGACCTTCCTCTATAGCTTTGTCTTAAAACTTCTTTCCCTCATGTTTTTCCGACTGAACGTTTTTTTGTCTCGGTATAACAGTTCACCAAGTAATGATTTTTTTCTAATACTCTGTTATAGATACGAGATCAAGTCATGAACACTACTTCACGCAAACGAGACCACTCTCCTGAAGAACATTTGAGTGCTCTCTCTTCGCTGAACGATCAGGTAAGGGTTCCTTCTTCTTTTAACCTAGATAATACAATACTTTTACACTGTAGCTGAAGAAAATAATGTAAATACCTAATCCAGATCTCCTTTTTTTTTTTTTTTTTTTTTTTTTTTTTTTTTTTTTTTTTTTTTTTTTTTTTTTTTTTTGGCCAAAATTCTGGTGATATTTATCCTTTTTTAATCGAAAAATTTCCATGATTTCTCTGCCAAGAAATACAGTACAAAATCAATCTTCTGAATGTGGTAGAAATGTGCAAAAATTCCAGTAAAACAAACATTTACTGTGTTTTTTTTCTTCATTTCTTTTCTGTGTGTGTTAGTGTGTGCATGTATTTGGAAGGTATTCAAAATAGCCAAAATTTGTGACTGAAGGTTTTCCGCTTCCTATCAGGGATTTACGATCTGCAACCCTGTGCTCTGTGCTCGATATAAAAGCTCTAACGAAGCTTTGATAAAATTCAAAAATTGCATTTTGAAGGTTAAAATCGTTTCAAGAGATAAGGGTAGCAATGTCTGGACTCTAAGCATCCCTCTTAGGGTATCCCTAAGAGCTGCATAGAGAACTAGAAAGGAAGCATTTCCCAACAAGTGCAATCAATTTTTTTGTTGTAGGTTGGCAAGAAAAAACGGAAAGCAGAGCCTCTGAACATCAGGAGTGATGAAAGAGTAACATCAAACCATAATGTAGGACTCTTTATCAAAGAGGAAAAAAATGATATTAGTAAAGAAGCTCAAGTTTCAAGTAATCCAAATGCTGCTGGACAGTCCAGGAAGAAAAAGGAGAAAAGTCAGCAAGGGAATTCTCGGCCTTCAACCATTTCAGTTGATTATAGCTCAATAAACTACAATGAATTTCATTCAAACCCTGCTCAAAAATCCGCCTTTTTAAAGCAGATAGATGCTAAATTCCAAAGCCAAGTAAGTTTCAAATATTCATAACATTTTAATCATGCCACAGCATTTACAATATTTTTTCTTTTATTGAACGTCACAGCTTTTTAACATAATTTTTAATCTTCAGGGTATTTAACACTAGAGAGAACATACTGGGTTAATGAAATTTAAATTTATAACAATATCATTCTGATAAAATAATATACATATTAATACAGTAAAACAGATTTATAAATATAAAAAAAAGTAAGTTCAGTATGATCATGAAGCCAGACTTTCATCAATTTTTAAATAATTTTCATGTCAGTAAGTTTAAGTGATAGGTTGGTTTTAGTTTCATTTTTTTCTTTCTTCCTTAAAAAAAACCATCTACACAAGGCAAACACATTTTAGAGAGCAATAAGTTTTGTTTGTCGGATCTCAATAATTTTAAAATGGAGGGTAATGAGAAAATTTGGATTACGAAGAATTAAAAGCATGTTAGTGTAAAATTTTAAAACCTTTAGGTCCACTTTATATTTATATAGATACATCATGGCATCTATGCATTTTTCATACTTAAAATCATCAAAATATTGACTGGGATTTTGTCTTTAAACTTATTTTCTATTATAAGGGGGGGGGGGGGTGCTTCCATTTGTAGCATCTCTGTCTGCTTGTATTTGAAAGAGCACTGGGATAGAAACTTAAGAAATTTTAACCATTATTGTCATAGAATGCCTCCAACTAACTGCTTCAAATTCATCTGATGTGTAAGTACCATTGGTTTTGAGAAAACTATTGGCCTCTGCCAGTGTTGGCTGCACATGATTTTTCATCACTTTCTTCTGCAACCATCCTTAGAAATCCTTGAAAAATTACTAATTAGTTGGAAGCCATTCAGAGTTCGTGAAGAGCCCTTGATTCCAAATTCCTCGGAAGTTTCGGATTTCAGGCTTTAAACCTGTACTAAACCGCCATGAAGATAAAACTTATTTAAGAAGCTTCAAAGGATTGACTCCATGCAAGGTAGCTGAAATATTATTTTTGGAATGTTAGGTGTCAAAATCCTCAAGACAGCTTTAAAGCAATGTGCAATAATTTCTGCAGCCACAAGTCCACATAAAGTAACTAGGATCTTACGTAATCTTTTGTTTTCTTTTTTCGTTCTAGAAAAAGAAGAAAGGTGGTAAATTCAAGAAGTCTGGTAAAGGAAGTGGAAAGAAGGGAGGTGCTTTCAAAATCTAGTAGTTCTGTACCAAAAGGTAAAATCTATTCCTTTACTCTTATGGAAATTAGTTTTGCTTGATCCTTCCTTTGAAAAAGTTCAACTCTCCAGTATGTCTATCAGGAAACCAAAAAATATGCACATCAGCGCCATCGATGTGAAGAAAAGAGAAAATTTCACTCAGCTCATTCCCCTCATCTTAAAATAACTGAAAACTCCCCTTTTCTAATTTTTTTAATAGTTTTTGTCTTTTATTATCAGATCCTTTTTCTTTGTTCAAATCAGGATTTTGTCAATCTTTATTTTTTATCAGGTATGATTATTTACAAGAGTCTCTCAGGAAGTAAGTTTTCCTGTTTATTTTTTTTTTTTTTCCTCTCTTTTTTTAAGGAGTATACAAGTCAAAAAAAAATTCAGCTTCAGTTAGAATGATGATGCAACTACATACAAATTAGAGTTCATCAGTCACATAAAAGTGATGTGTAACTTTATTTTTTTAAAATTTTGTTATTTCTTTCTTTCTTAAACTACATGTTTTTTTGATAAGTCTTATTGTTATCAAAATGTGTAGATCACAGTTACATGAATTTTTAGCATCTTTAATCGTTTTACGAACTCAGTTTCCGACCGAAGAACCCTCTAGTTTTACTGTTTATTTTAACCCTAGTTGTTGAAACTAGGGCTGACCACTGTAAATATTGACACTACTTCTATGAGCTTTTTACAGAATTAAGTAGTGTCTTTTAAATATGTGTAAATATTGATCTTGTGAATTTTGTAATAAATTGTTTATTTTACTCATAACTTTTGTCTCATCTACTTATTCCAATAACAGAGGCTGAGGCCCTTACTGATTGAATAGCCCCTCCCCTGCTTTTCCACCATTTCTTAAGATCTTTTTTCAGTGATGAAGCTCTGTCAAATGGCACTTCTAGGCTCCTCTCCAGAAAGAAGCTAAGTAAAGCGTGAAGGCAACAAGATGCATCAGTCTAGTAGAAATAAGTTGGTCAAACCCCCTATGTCATTGATTGATCTTAGATTTTATGGGGCACAAATCTATGTTGAAGCTTTCGTGAAAACTCAAGAGTACCAAACTTTTTCCACAAAATTTCAATTTCGGTAATGTTTTTTTTAAAAAAAAAAAAACTGATAAAAATTTGCGACATCATGCCACAGAGCAGACGAGTAATTTAGTTTTTTAAAAATCCAAAAATGTGTTGTTGCGCAATTGCGCATACATAACAGTATGCCAAAGAGGGTCAACAGCATAGATGCTTTAATTGCGATATGAATCAAGATCTCAGATTTATGGTGAAGTGTTCCAACACCTTGAGCCCTTTGCATAAGATGCACCCATAAAAAATGTTTTGGCCGCTGCAAACAAAGGTTACTTATAAGATTCAACACCTAAAAAACTGTCTTGGCCTCAATTGGGAATTGGGAAATAATTACATTTGCAACAGTCTTTGAGTACTTTTATTGTTCGATGACACTGAATGAAAATTTAAAAATACTTAATTTCTATGTCTCAAAAAAAAGTTATGAAGAAATATTTCCTAAAACTAGATACATTAGTAGACAAACCAAGTAGAAGACCGTTTTGAAATCCTAGAATCATTCAAATGAATAAAGACGGAAGAAACATATAAAATAAATATTGTGTAAATATTGAAACATTTGAATTTTTTAGAGCCATAATTTATACTGAAAATGTAAACTGAGCTTCACTGACCTCTTAAATCACATCTTGAAAATTTAAAACTTACAAGGAAGTGTGGAGAGACTAAAAATAGAAAAATGATTGACTATTGTTACACTAAATATCAACATCAAGTACCAAAATGAAATTTTCCAAAAAGTTCAAGATAACTTAGAAAATGTAACTTGAAAATTGCTTCATACAAAATACAGGCTAAAAGATCAAGAGGTTTGCCGAAACTTAAAACAAGAGCGACATCTTCTTCTGATGGTGCGTGTAGAAAAGAAGGGGAAGATGTCCATTACTAAGCATATACAAGCAGAAATTTAAGTTGGAAAGAAGTACCTTTCATTCCTGTATTTTAGATTGATTAAATAAAAAGAATGCTAGGAGAAACCTTTTGCTGTTTCTACTAAGTTCAAAATGTGATGTTCAGTTTTCAAAAGAAGGTACTTTTAAATCAGTGTACCCATTAGAAGGCATTTTTATCAAGTGTGTCAAAAATTAAAAATGCTTGAAATAATTTCTGTTGCGTGGAAGGTTCTAAACATTAGGTTTAAATAGTGACTCCGAAAATCTGAGCCATATTTGTGGTTCTGGATGAATTAAAATTAGGTTTCCATCGTTGATGACTAAGGTCACAGTAATGGTTTTTTATTTAGTTGAAATAACGAAGAATGCATGTATCAATGCAAGCTGATTTTCAGCTGTAAAACGAATGAATATCAGCTGAAGGAGATAAAACAGCACATTTGAGGTTGGGCCACTGTGTTACAGCAAGATTTGCAATCATTTTGAACATTATGAATTCTCATTCAATTTTCTTCCAGTAATAGTAAAGACAATTGTAAATTTGACAAAAACACAAAATTCAAAGAAAAATGTAAAAAATTCATGAAAAACATTGGAACAAAAACTGAGTAAAGCTTATCATGCATGTTTCTTCCAGAAAATTTCAAGCAATGAAATATTTTCAAAAATATAATTGCTTTACTTTTTACTTAAATGCCTCAAATGAACTCAAATCTTGCATACATTATAATTTTAAAAGACAGAATTAATTTTCAGGTAGGCCTGGTCAAGTTTTGAAAATAACCATAAGAAGCTGAGGAACCCTGGTTGACATTATTCCCTTATTTATTGCTGTTTTTACTCTATTTATTGCTGTCCCACCTAGGGCCATCAGTGGATAAAACCAGAACAGATTGAGAAGCCATGATCTGCTCACGACAGAACACAACATGGTGCTTTCTCTCTGTTCAGAACAAAGAATGCAACAGACGCAGTACAGAAAGTTTTCAAGAGCAAATAGAAGGGAATCTTCTTTTCTTCAAATTAAAGTTTGCAATTTCTTTCGAACACTTCCATTTGACTCTTTCAACTGCTTCCTTTATCCTCTTTATCTTAGTTCCTGTGGTGGCATAAGATCATTATTTAGGAATTCAAAAGTTTCATCAGTAGACTCATCATCATCTGTATCTGGATCTGGATTGGCAATACCTCCTCTGGGAGCAAATTTTCTTTGCTGTGGATGATTCTTCAAATGGATATTTAGGTAAGTTGCGAGTTTAAATGTAGCAGGACACTGTGGGCAGGCATACGGTCTCTTATTGGAATGGAGTCGATAGTGATTGTTGAGGGTGGACCTCTGAGAAAAACTACTCTTACAAATCTTACATTTATAAGGGCGTTCACCAGTATGGACTCTTAGATGTACGGTTAAATAGCCTTTTAGTTTGAAGCGCTTATCACATTCAGGACACTTGAACGGTTTAGTTTTTTCAGCTTCAGCTAAACCAACTTCAGAGAACGGTGAGTCAGTATCAGAGGTACGATACTCATCTTTAGTATTAACGAAGGTTCCACCTTCTCCTTGTGGTGAGCAAGTTTTCCAAATCGGAGTCTTCGAACTAACAGTAGCGTATGCAGACTCATCCTTCACTCTAGAAAAGAAAAACAAACAATCTTACTTCACTTTCTTCGGAATAATTCAAGGTGACAAGTATTGCTAGATTTCCAAATTCCATGATTTCTCAGGGTTGGTGAACACAAAATTCCCCAATTTGTTCATAACTTTTCGATGTTTATTTTGATTTGATATTCCATGAAAATGCTTTCCAAATAAAACTGTCAGATTTTCACAAGTAGGTATTACACTTCTCAGGGTGGATTGAAAAGTTTTGGAAATAGTACAGAACAGTCTGGAAGTCTTCCACAGTTTTCTAATTTTAGGCTACAAATACAGTTTTTAGAAATCGCCAAATTGATTGGTGTAGACTCAGTGGAGAGTTTCCACAATTTTTCAAGCTTGACCTAAAAGAAAATAATTGCAATGTCTACTTTTCATCATCACTGCATACGCAGAAATGATAGCAAAATTACTCCACAAAAAGAATGAGTTCGAAAGTGACAAGTTTTTTTTCTTGCAACAATGCAACCTGGAGAGGGAAATTTTTTATAAAAAAAAAAAAAAAAATCCCAGAAAAATTTAAAATAAATATACGTAAAGTTTTGATGCGATACAATTTTATTTTTAGGTGTGACCCACAGAAAAAAGGACTTTTCTGAAGAGGGGTCAATTTTGCGTAATTGCAAAAATGTGTCACACAAATGCGTAAGCTATAATAATCAAGGAATAATAGAAAGTAGATATGAGTGGCATGTTTCATAGAGTATGGGTGAACAACTGACAAGGAACAAAAATATTAAGACTTTGGTGACAAAAAAGATGAGGCAGACCTGACAAAATCAACCGCTTCACACACAAAGTAATTTTTCTCGATGCCATTTTTTACTGTGTCCACATTGTCTGCTATAATGTACTCTTCCTCTATTTTGACAGGCAGAAGGTTGAGAAGAAAGCTTGGGGTGCTATTTAAACCACTTTCGTTGATATTGTTTTCCATAATTATTTTCCGAGTTTTGAAGAAATTGTGAGCTATCCAAGGAGTGCTGCCATTGAACCTGAAACAAAAAAGAGAGGTAACTATATGCTTGTCCCTGAAATTGCACAGGAAGGCGATAATGAAAACACGAGTGGACAACTTTAAGACGTAAAATGGAGATGTTGCATGTGTGAGGAATATGGGAATTGACTGTTGATTCTCATGAAAAAATTTCACGAGAAACATGATTGTGCCACGGGTTTTCTCTGAAATCGACTCCCAAGCTCAAAAAAAGCTCTCAAGTTGAGGCCAAAATGGAGGGGATATCCCACGCTATCATGAGAGTCCACCTCTACATCAAGACAAACTCTCTATGCAAAGATAGGGAGCATATACATTGACAGGGTTGCCGTGATTTCAGTTTCAGAGTCCCCAAATAAGGTGGCAGCCCCATCAATGTATTTGCTCCCTATTTTTGCATGGAGAGTTTGTCTTGATGCAGACGTGGACTCTCAGGATAGCATGGGATATCCCCTCCATTTTGGCCTCAACTTGAGAGCTTTTTTCAAGCTTGGGAGTTGACTTCAGAGAAAACCAGTGGCACCATCGTCTTTCTCGCGAACTTTTACGTAAGAATCAAGCCCCTCCCCCCCCTCCCCAAAAAAGAAAATCCTAATTTTTCTGTTTTGTGATTTTTCGAAATTTCCCCCAAGTTACAGTTACTAGTTCTATAACTACAACATCTTGCGTCCAGCTTTTCACTAAATGCGCCATGAATGTAGGCAATAAGTCAATCTAGGCCCTAAAAATTGAGCTTAATGCGCCACATGGCTTCTGAAACTCAAAGGTGAGTTTCGGACACTGGACCCAATAGACCCATTTAGATGTAAATCAAGGGGGAAAAACGGGAGACTATGCTAAAATACACAGTTAATAAAAACCGAGATGTTTCGACTCAAAACTGAGTCAATGTCAGTCAGAAATACGATAAAAATTTAAAAAAACGATGAAAACCTGAGCTCTACATGGTGGTGGCCAGGATCTGAGAAAATAGAAAAGAAAGAAAGAAAAAAAATTTTTTTTTTCTCAGATCCCGGCCACCACCATGTAGGCCTCAGGTTTTGCTTGTTTTTTTAAATTTTTATTGTATTTCCGACTGAAATTGACTCCATTTTGAGTCAAAACGTCTCAGTTTTTATTGATTGCGTAATTTAGCCTTGTTTTCCGTTTTTCCCCCTTGTTTTTCACCTGTTACCATTGTCTCAGGCATGCTCTTAAAAATGTGTATCTAGACCCATTTAATGGCTACATCGCTACAACTAATTATATAAAAGTATGCAACTCTTATAGAGCGTAGCAAAATGATAAATGCATAAGCAGGTCATTTATTCAGGAAAGAATCATCGAATACAAATGATGAATTATGATTAGTTCACTGAATACATACTATGTAAGCATTGCTGGTTTAACGGTCCACCTGCAGCCTGATTGTTGAAATTTTGTGTTTGTCGGGAAGACATAGATGACATAGGTTAAAAGGCAGAGCGTTTTTGGTTGGCTATGTCTTATTGCTACTTTGTCGTGCGTATGTCGGGCGAAACTCACGACCAGCTAAAGGCATGTCTTTCCTGGCAGTATGTGGTCCATTCCACCTATCAAAGGCCTATAAAGCAGCAATAAGACATAGCCGACCAATCACGCTCCACCTTTTAACCTGTGTCATCTATGTCTACCCGGCAAACACAGAATTTCAACAATCAAGTTGCAGATCGCTTGACATGCTGCCTGACGTACTCAGAGGTGAGGATGAGAGGCGCTCCATTAGAGAGCTCATGAACGTAATAGGCAGCTTATATACCATCTAGACACGCATTGAAGAAAGCAGATTGCTGAAAAAATTGATCTAGCTGACAGGAATCGACAGCAAGTTGAATCTTGAATGCAAATTACTTGATCCAGTACTGCTCATTTTGTATCATCCTGGCATTAACTTAAATCTACGGAAGGAAATCAAATGAGTTGTCTTACGTTGATAGAAATGCTTGAGATCAATGGTCCTTCAGAACAGACAAATTTCTTCCCAACATAAATTTTCGGTCACAATGAAAATTTGTTCGTTTTTTTTTGGGTGAAATAACAACACAGACACAGTATTTAGTTGAAGTTCAAATTGGAAGAAAGAGCTAAAAACGTGCTGTCTCAGGTGTAACAGTTGTAACAACCTAACCAAGTACCAAGTTTGAAGTTACTCATTATAAACAATATGAACAGTGTTGCCGTCTCATCTTCTTCATGTTAATTTTGTTTTTTATATGGTGTAGTTTATGGCAACGTTGTAAACAGCTGCTGCCGTTGCTACACACGTTGTGCAGGTTGCTGCCCATGTGTATTGCAGGCACATTTTTCTCAGGAGGGAGATGTTTTGATCCAATCCTAGGCAGAAGCAACAGTTGAAAGTTGTTGAAACTGATGATACGGGTGACAACTTCATCTTACGAATTCTTCGCATCTCTCGAGTCTCGAGCAATTAACAAGAGATAACAGCTTTTGATTAATATTAATTGACGCTCAATTATCGCCTGCCCTTTTACGATGTGATGTGATTGCTTGCATATTCTCTCATTTCTCTTTCATCCGTGGTTTTACCGTGTAAACTGTGCGTGACTACAAATTTAGATGCTCATATATTTTCGTTTCATACGTGCTCGGATTTTAGTGTATATCCTCCAGTATTTCGTCTTACTATTTCTCCATTCTCTCTGTGAAATCACACATCGTCGGGATAATAATTTCCAAGAAGACTAATCTTATAAAAACTGGCATGAGGTAGCTGGTAGCATTCTTATAATGAAATTCGTTTGTCTAGGTTATGTGATATCACACCATGATTATTTGAAGTCAAGGGAAAGTTTTTAACAGCCCAAAATCTCTAGTTGGTTGGAGCCATCCTCTATCATTCAGGTGTTATGGAGGTATGTAATTTGTCAATCTTGAGTCCACCTCTTTCCTATTACAGTCAGCAGCCTGATAGTTAAAATTTATGTCGGCACTACAAGAATCAAAAATCGATATATTACGCTGCGCAGATAGGACTATGTCTTGTCTTATCTAGCCGACAGAGCCAGTTGAAGTTTCAACAATCGGGCTGCTGCCGTTGCACTTAGTAGGTAACGTCTAAGACCTCGGTTGTTTTAACTTCTACCGAAGCCAAGGGAACTATCAGGATCCTATTATTCAAGTCCTTCGATAGGTACGCTTACCTCAGAAAACTTTAGGATTGAATATGCATGGACCTTTTGTTAGTCCACAAGCACGGTGTTAAATCTTGGATCAGATACGCATTCACTTTTGAAGATTGGTGCTTGTATAAACGTATCCCAATATTACTCTGTTTCAAATGTATAAACCTTCATACTTTATGAACTTCATGGCAGGAACTTGGTGTGAATGTCCCTTTTATCACAGTTCTTTGAAGAAACTACTAGTCTCATAATGTAGTATAATTAGTTTTGATGTAAGCTCCTTCATCGCTTATTGACACAAGTTTCAATCTCTGCTCTGATTAGTTCTGTAGCAGCACCCTTCATCAAGTTTGTAATTAGATGATACCACTGATAAATGTTGATGTAAATAAAATATGACTTTGGTCTCAACATACAATGTTGGATCTGTAACAGTCACTTATTTGACAACAACAGCCTTTTGTAAGAAAAACTTGCTCTAAAAGTCCATGCTCCTGCATTCACTCCCCGAAAATCATAGGTATCATCAAATATTACTGAAGCGGTATCAGCGTTCATCTCTTGTACCAAATAACGATGGGTTTACTCTAGTTAGCACCTCGTATTATTTGAAGGCTTCATCAGGTAATTTTCCTTGGTTTCAGCTGGTTTTTTTTTTTTTTTTTTTTTTTTTTTTTTTTTTTTTTAAATGACATATCGCAGCCTCAAGTGAATGATCAAGACAAGCTGGCCTCTATTGGTAGCAAAATTAATTCAGAATTGAAATTCAGGAAAATTTATGGAGGGTCTTGCCAGTTTAAGTATGATTATTATTGTAATTTTGTTTTGTAATATAAAATAAATAAATAAAGCTGTTCTCAGAAGTAATTTTGAATGCGAGAAAACATATTTTCTCAGCTGGTGGGTTTTAAGAAAAAAGAGAAAAGAAATGGGGATGATCACTGACTGTTAATCAGTGGCTGGATCTACAATGCCAGCATTTTTGGTAAATAATTGTTAACCTCTCATTGTTATCATTATTCCGAAGAAGTCATGAAGTTTGTCTTCTTGCAAATGAAGGCAATTACCATCACAACCAAGCTATTGTTAGCAATATTTATGCCTTCAATGTAGAATATGATTCATATTCATATTGATTAATATCTTAGTAACTCTCTGTTACAGAACTTGAAGGATCCTGATGCAGACCTTAGAAGCTGATGAAGATGACTATGATTGTGCCATCATATTATTTCAGACTGATGGCTATGATTTTGTGATAAGGCAAATAGTTTTTTACAGGTACCTGCATGAATGTGTAATTCTTGAACCCTATTGATCACTATAAGGCAAGATAAGTGTGGCTCTGGAAATTTATGAACGATTTTGATTGCCGAAGCGCGATACCATGTATCTCCACCTGCAATGCTGCGGGCATTGGAGACTTCCTGTTGTACATTTGTTTTTTCTTTGGAAAACTAGTTAATTGAATCTCTAGGAAACAACCTTAATTTTTCTTCTCCATCAGCAGAGTACTCCGTAGAAATTTCAAATCGATAGATGATTTGCTTCTCTTCTGAAAAATAAATTAGAAACGGAGACTTTGAAACACTGGAATGGAGTTGTGCAGTCTCACACTTCAGCCATTGATTTACTACTGTTGCCACCGAGTCTTGCATTCTACATTTGTCGTAGCTACTCGGATTACATTTACTCTAAATAAAATGAGATAGAAGTCGGAGCTGTGTTTTTCCTCAGAGCTTTTTGCTTACAGGATCTCCAAGTAAAAATCTAAGTACCTACTCCAAAGTCGTAAGCTTTTATGTCAATTTGCAAAGACATCTTTCCACATGTGTCATCATGTCATCAAAAAAGCATATTTTCACTGTTGAATTTTCTAGTAGAAGTATTTCTCTCGTTAATTTTTTGCTTTTTCTTTGCCAGCAAACACGTTTGAGGTTGTATAAGATTTCCTACAACTGTGCTCAGAATGGCCATGATGAACGGAAATTTTCACAGCCTTATCCCCGAAATGGAACAGATCATTAGTCAGTTGGAGAGGGGCACTGTTGTCACACGGTTTTTCCCTAGACGCAGGCCAGAGCGTAAAACACTCATGATCCGCAGAGAAACGAGGCAGATTATTTGGGCAAGAGCAGCCAACACAAAACAAGTTGACTTTGCCGGTAGGTATGGTGAGGGCTGTAGAGCTTGTTTAATGGATAGAATAATTTGAGAGTAGCAAAAAAAAAATTACTTTCTTGTGAAAATTTTTAGAAAAACAAATCTATGAAGGAAGAATAAACCCAGGAAATTTACAAAATTATTTACATACTTCAATTCTTTTCTTTTCTTTTTTATCTTTCTCAAGTTTATTAATTCTAAGAATTTACATGACATACGTACAGATCATTACACTCAGGTATAGTTTTTAGTTTCCCACATTGAATGTAGCTCCAAAAAGTCTTGCCGGTCTGTGTTGACTCATACTCAGGCATGTGGTGAAAAGAAAGGATGTTCTGTAATGTAGAGAAATGGCTTGTATCCCACTTTGAAAACATCTCTTGAGTTGGGTCAGGTGTGACGCAAATCCAGGGTTAGGAGCTTCGATATCTGCACACAACAGACGCCCAAATATTCTTCTGGACTGCTACAAAGTTGAAGATAGAGAATTTATTGCCTCTTCATCCATTTAAAGTGATAGCAATGGGCCTGTTGCAAACTTTTGCTAGAGCAAAACTA